ACTACACACTGACTACACACTAACTACACACTAACTACACACTAACTACACACTAACAAACACGCCGTCACTCCTAAAACTTCCCCCTCCCTAAACATCTAAATGCCATGTTGCCATATCATGTTTTGATTGGTCCACATGGTACATTTTTCCACCAATAGGAAAGGCTGGAGGGGGGCTGTCTTTGCTCACAGAATTTCGAGCGTTTTCCTTATAAAACGCCGTTTTTACCGTTTCTTCCCGCAGTAAATATAAACAACGACAGTATTCAGGAAGAAAACCAAACACTGCAGATATTTTATCATAACTCTGGTTTTACGTGGCCGATCAACACAGTTTAAAAACTGGTATAAAGTCCACACTGTTTCCGTCAGTTGTTCCTTCTGTCCTGCTCACATCTCCAATGGTTGTACACGTTGTCATTAACGTGGCTTCACTCCACATCAGCCGCTTTGCTAAAACACCGGTGTCACCGGCACATAAGGACGCTGTCATAGCCTGTCAACCACGTGGATTAGCTGCACGTGCGCAGCTTAGAGGGAACATTGGTAAGGACTGTTATAGATGGATGGTTTAAATAAAAGTTTCTAAAACCTTAAACAGCTCCGTCCCAGTCCACTCTGCCTCTCAGAGTCTAAACTTAGCCGGTGATATAACAGGCTTAGCGCTGCTCTGGGATCAGCCTGTCAGTCGGTGCAGAGGGCCGATCGCCCCCAGCCTGTGTGAGCAGTGAGGGCTCTGCACCTCTGGTGGTTTTTGACTCACTGTTGCTTGGAGAGAAGAGCTGCTTTTTCATCTTCCTGTTAATAAGCAGGCGGTGCTGGGATTCAAACCCACGATCTCCTGTTTAGCTGGCTAGCGCTTTAACCACAGTGCCTCACTCCATCTGACACGCACCTGTTAGAGGGGCGTCCACAGGTGTGCTCGGGGCGTCCACAGGTGTGCTCGGGGCGTCCACAGGTGTGCTTGGGGCGTCCACAGGTGTGCTCGGGGTACCTGGGCTGTTTAAAGTCCTGCAGCCTCCTCAGGTGTTTGGAAAGTTCACAGACTTTATCATATTTAATGAAGACCACATACAACACATGGAGCACCACCTGAATTAAAAACGTGAGATTTATAGGTGTGACTCTGCCCCCCAAATTACACCTACAAACAGCATTTCTGGTTCCCAGTGTGCGCACTGACACCACCCTGCCCACCATCAGGCAGAAGGTGGTGTTACCCCGATAACATCTGACCCGTATGCTCTCGTGGGCTTCGTGTGTCGCCTTTAAAAACACTGAATGTGCTGATTCAGACTCACTTTGTTGGGCTTCTCATTTTGTCCTGTCAGGTTCCCTTGTGTGTGTTTGCTCGTCTCTGTGATTGTTTCTGCAGTTTTTGGCTCTTTCTTGCCTCTCTCTAGTTTTTGTGCTAATATTTGTGGATTGTTGTCTTTTGAGGGTCTGTTTGTGTGTCTTTGAAGCGGTTTTTGTCCCGTTTTGTCATTTTCCACCTAATTTGAGGCTTTTTTGTCTCTTCGTTATCATTTTGTGTCTTGCGTCTCTCTAAGCTGTCGTCCTCTCGAGGTCTATTTGTGGCAGCTGAGTCCTGTTGTGGTCATCGTGCTTCTCTTTGTCGGACATTAATTGTTTACTTTTGAATCTTTGTAAAGATAAATTTCATCTGATGTTGAGAGGTTTAATCTCTGTGTGATTACTTTGCCGTTCTTTGAGGTTATCGGCTCTGTTTTTGGCTCCACTGACTCTCTGTGGCGGTCATGTTTGTAGTTTTCTGTAGGTGTTGGAGTCCTTTAGGCTGGGGTAAACCTGAGGACAGTCCTGACAGGTGGACACTTTTCTTCTGGGTCCACGAGGCTCAGAGCGTTCCCCTGACGGGTGAAGTTGGGCTCGGGCCTCGCTGACGCCTTCGGCAGCGACCCGTGGAGGGATTTGAACCTGCTGACCTTTAAGCTATCAGTGCCACTCCACTCGTGGCCTTTCTGTTTGGGCTTTATCGCCACCGAGATAATGAGACGTTTCCTGACGCTGCCCCTGATTGGATGCGTGGGAGACCCTGGGCGCTGCATGATTGAGGGGGGCAGTGAGGAGGGTCTAGAAGAATCTGCTGGTCTATATTAGCCGCTGTGAATCACGGCGAGCCTGGCATACCGGGTGTCCCCTTTCACGCCATATAAGTCCACCCCCCCTCCTTTCCCTGCAGACCCCCCTGCCCTGCCTCACCCCGCCTCACCCCACCGCCCCCCCACAATGCCACACCACTGTCTGAGGCTATTCTTAGGCTGTCACTTCAGCCCGTCCGAGCAGGCAGGTCCTCCTCTTTCTCCTCTCAGCTGCTGCGACTCGTTCTCTTCCTCTCCGGTTGGTGCATTTCACTCATTTTTCTTTCCTCCGTGATTGCTTCACCTGCTTCACGCCCTCTCTCTCTATCGCCTCTCTGCTTTCAGAGCCGTCCCGTGTCTCCTGCAGCTGCCGGTGGGTTTTGTTCCAGAAACTCTGCTCTGACTTTGAAGGATCTTTGTAGTTGTGTGGAAGAAGAATGAGCACCTACACCGTGTCGCTGCCAGGCCCCGGGCCCTGGGGCTTCAGGCTGCAGGGGGGCAAGGACTTCAACATGCCGCTGACCATCTCCAGGGTAGGAAATCGGACAGGAAACGCACTTTTTCACCTGCAGCTTCGCCCAATTTCTGTGTTTGGCTGACAGATGTGAGTCTCTGATATCTGTGTCCCAGTCTGAGTCCTTGGTGGTGTTACAAAAGGGAATGAATCTAGAAAGACGAAGCTGGGACGGTTTAAGATGCAAACCATTGTTGCATGTCCTGCCTTATTTCCTGTCATCTGTATTCTTTCAAAATAAAGCTCAAAATTCCCCTCAGCATTGTTACTGAAACTTTAATGATTAATATTTAAAATCCGAGCTGGTGTGAGCCTCGGGTCTGTTCGACGTGCTCATGAGTCATTAAACTCAACCTGCTGTAGACTAATTCCATTTCGAGTCCAGCTGAGGAGACGTGGCTGCTTCGGGGCATAATCTCTGATGTGTGGCTGATTTCTTTTTGAATCAGTGAAGCCCGTCGACCCCCCCGGTCAGGTAGGGAGGCCGAAGCAGAGGTGGAGGCCTGAAACTGGAGCTGGTGTTGCTTTCGGAGCCTCGCCTCTCTGGACAGATGGAGAGACGAAGTTCCTGCAGCTCCACTGTAATCTGCTAGTGGGATGTTGATGACCTTTGACCTCTGTGTCGGGTTCTGTTTGGTGATTTTGGATGTGATGCCTGATGTGTTGGGAAAAGGTGTGGCTGCAGCTTTGTGTAGCCTCTTGTTGGCAGTGAATTTTGGCAGTTTTGCATTTTTCAGGTCACGTTGCATCAGTGCTGATTGTTTTTGTCCTCTTGCTGTTATTTGGTGTCTCTGTGGGTTGTTTGGGTTTGCAGTGCAGCTAGTCTGCATGGTTTTGGAGATACTGAACAACTTATTTCTGTAGTTTTGCATCTAATTTTAGTTTCTTTTCCTTTTACGGTCATTAAATGTCTCTCTCTCTGGTATTTCTGCCTTTTGGTGCAGTTGTTGTGTAGTTAAATTCTTTGGGTTTCTTTTCTTTTTAGTGATTTTGAGACTTTTTGTGGTTGTTAAATTCGGGGGTTTGTTTGTGTTTTGGGTCTTTTTAACGTTTTTTTAATTGTTCAGTTGTTTTTTGCGTCTGTCCTGGTTCGTTCAGGTAATTCTGTGTCTTTTGTCAGGTTGTAAGTCGTCTTTTTGCAGCTCAGTTTGGCAGTTTTGTGTCTTTCTTGTAGTTCAAGCCTCTGACCCTTTCGGGTTGTTGTGTTTCTGTTAGTTTTCTTGTGCGTCTCTTTGTGATGGGCTCGGGTTCATTTTATGTTTCTTTCTGATTTGCAGTTATTGTCCAGCCGACTTTGGTGGTTTTGGACCCTGAGCTGTGTTTACTGGGGTTCATATATGTTGCTGTACTTTTATTCAAACTGTTTAACTTGGCAGGATGTTCCAGATGTTCATGTGAGCCTCTTTTCCACACATTTAGCCTACAGATGTTTTGTGTTGTGTTTGGGTGCTGCTGCTCTTCCATTGTTATTCACTGCATCTGTAATCCAAGTCTCTGCTGGCGGCTCCACAGTTTCCATCATTGCATTCACCTTAAACCGAGTCCTCCCACAGGAGAGACAGACGCAGGTCCCCACAACATGACTGTGAACAGATTTAGGACCCTACAACAGCAGCAGTGATAAAAACGCACACACACAGACACACACACACGCTGTGAGGACTCATTCATTCGGGGACGGCCGACCTTCAGTGCTCCCCCTGCTCAGCTGTTACACTCATCAGCCTCTGTGAGCGCGCTGTTTGTTAACAGCTCCACGTGCTTTACGCAGCTCCTCCGTCAGGCTGAGAAAGATGGAGGTCCTCTTTGAGATACTAAACCATGTTTAGTCGTCCAGAACAGTCACAGGGCTGAAACAAAGCCTCACGATTCAGAACCTTTTTCGTTTTTTATTCTTAAATTGTTTCACTTGATGATTGAGGTGAGACCTTATGTCTGTGTCAGGGCAGCACTCATACAGGAACAGTAAATCTTGTGTTCCTGGTTCGAGGAGCTGTTTTTGGCCCCGGGTTTTGCCTCTCAGGTTGCACCTCGCTGACGGAGTTGGTGGGAGGTGTTTCCACGTTGCCGGAGACGAGCCAAAAATAAGACTCGAGCAGAACCTCTGTCTGTGTGAGAGTCAGCGACCGGTTTAACCCCGGAGAGGCTGGCAGGACCTCTGCTCCTCGCTCTGGGATGTGACAGTCATGTTACACCAACCATACAACCACACAAAAAGTTCTGAATGAACTGTGGATTCACGAGTATTAACAGACTTCTGCTACATGGACCTCGTTTCACCTCTAGTGCCGATGATGCTCTACGTGAAGAACTGAGAACGAGGACCTTCCTTTTCCATCCAACCCTCCAGTTTCTGCCTGATTGTCGGCTCGGATCCAAGTTCACGTCCCTGTCAACGTTTTCCGTCCTGAGTCGGTTTGTAACGACCCTGCTGCAGCCTGCTGCTGCTCCATCAGGACAGGTAGTCAGATGGAGCTTCTTCCTGTTCCTTCCTTTCACAATAAAAGCCCTTCACAGTGACTCCTGCACATGAACGTGTGACGCCAATTGATAACCGATTCTGAGGTTAAAATGAAATGCATCTTTACTTTTGCTGGCGGATCATGTAAAGCAGCTCCGTCGGCCCACGCTGCCATGATTTAGACATGTCTGCTTTCCCTTCTCACTGCTGCTGTAGGCCAGACACACTTGCATCCTGTCAAATGCTCAACAGACTTAAACTAATACCAGTGAGGAAGGAAATTCAGCAGTGTTCATATTCCCATCATCCCTCTCTGCTCGCTGGTTCATTGTTCAGAGCATGAGGTTCAGGGAGCGGCGGTGAAGAGGTGGGATTTACAGGCAGACGAGGCTGAGTTAGATCCAATCTGCTGCTCAGCGCTCAAAGAGAATATCAGCAGGGTCACAGGATCCTCCCCATCCAAGCTTTCCTTCAAAGCCCGACATCTCTCCGTCAATGTTTTGAGCTGCAGAGCTCCAGAAGGAATGAAATGCATGTCGCTGCACCGGCACAGATGTGGATTAATCTGCTGCTCAAAATAGTCCCCAACAGATGCACCCTTTCCCCTGAACATGAGTGAAGTGTGGGTCAAACAGGTCCAGTGTGACTCTCACTTGGATTATTTAAATAGTAACGACTTCTTACTTTTTAACTGGATCACAGACCAGCTCATGTAGCAGATAACTGCCATACAGTGTGTACCACAGTGTGTACCACTGAGTGATGGCACAGTGCCGGACAGTCTGCATGTTTCATCCCTGATTGGTTGAGAAGCTGCAGGAGCTTCACTTTATGCTTTGCTGCTTTAAGTTAAAAGGATTTGTAATGAATCTTCTCCATCTCAGAGTTCCTCTGCGCTCTGTCGGAGCCTTGTTTGAATATATTTAGAGCCAAATGACTTCAGTCCTTCCTTCGGGCCGGCAGCGGCGATTGTTCTGAAGTCGTGTCTGGGAGTTTGGGACGATTCGAGGCTGAAAAAGTGACAGCTGGTGGCCTCTAAAGGACCAGCAGCAGAGAGGAAGTGTTCACACGGAGCAGGATTCGTGCCGCTTTAATCCATGGAAACGTCTCTGCGCAGTTTGCACACCCTCTAAAAGTTTCCAGTTTTGTTTTACAGCCAACATCTCCAGGTCATTTCCACTGTTTTTATCCTTTGAACGGTTTTTTAGTATTTTACAAACCGCATCTCTGATTTAGGTTATTTGGAGTGAAGGATTTATGTATGCAATAGGTGACAGATGGCGTTTAAGAAGCCCAAATGTTCTGCAGATTTTAGCCAATATTTCTAATGTCATCATGTCCAGATGACAGTCTAGTAACAGCAGGATATGCACGGACACACTGCAGGAGCTTTTTTCAGTGTCAGGCCAACGCTGTCTACATCATCCAGAATCTAGAACATGATGGGTTTCATTTGTGCAGCCCAGAGATAAAAGCTCATTCAGCCTGTTTACCAGGTCTGTTGTAAAGCATGCTCTACTGGGATTTGAACACAGGCTCTCCTGTTTACGAGACAGACGCTTCAACCAGCTAAGCTGCACGCCTCCTGAGGGCGCTGCAGCTTCTTACAGCTGAGTCCTCTTGGCTGTGAGGTTGATTTAGAGTTGAGTTTAAAATGCCGTCAAGATTTCTGCTTTGCTTCTTTGACTTGAAAACAGTGTCACCACCTCGAGGGTCTTTCTGTCCAAACCTTTGCACAGCAGCTCTTTGTACTGTTTACTATTAGCACAGAACCATCAGCACAACCACATCAAAGGAGTTCAGATCAAATATGAAGAATACGAAATCTCAGTGTACACAGATGATGTTTTGGTATACGTAGCAGAACCACACTCGTCAATAAGAAAGTTAAAGAGTCTGATCTGTGGATTTGGTTACTCAGACCAAACTGAGGAAAGGTTCATAAACAAGAACATTTGTCTCTTTGCTTTCATACAAACACAAAAGAATGTCTTATTCATCTATAGCTACAAAATCTATTAAAAAAAACTTTTTTGTTGTGATATATTTTTCACACATGTGAGTTTGTTTGAAAGGCAGAACTAGAGATCTCCTGTTTACGTCATCGACTCCGAGTCCGTTTGTGGGATTGTCCCCAAATGTTGGGAAGATGAGTTAGAAACACATCTTTAAATGTCTCTCTGAGCAGCTAGAGGTGTGTTTGTGTGAAAGCAAAGACTTTCTTCTTGTTTTGAGGCATTTCTGTTCTCAGCTAAAGAAATCAAAGATGAAAAAGTAAATACCAGAAAGTCTGCAGTTGCTGAAGGACACATCAGTCTTTCTCTGTGGCTGTTTTTTCAGACATAAATGACCTTTGTTCCACGCAGCAGAGATTCCTGTGCTTTTACTTCATGTCTGTGTTTAATTAGTGATTTTCTTACAAAGCTTCACGGGGCTCTGAGCGTTCCTGCTGCTCCTCTCACAGCTCAAAGCTCGCTCGAGTTTTACAGTCGGGGCGAAAGCCGAGCCGGCGGTAATTCGATGCCCGCTGTAACAAACACACGGAGCTGACTCAGCAC